ACATGGTATGTACATGTGCATGTGGCTCTCTGTTTGAATTGATGTGAATGTTGTTAATGTTCATATACCAGTTGATGAAATTATTTTTCATACGCGTCGGATCAAACAGAAAACCCAACTTTCTATGTTTCATCTCTGTGTTTCAATTAAAGAAACAAGAAACGATTGTTTTGATTGCTTTTCATTTTTTGTTTGTTTATTTTTGGGGGGGTTTAGAAGTAAAGCAATATCAGTCATTTTTACCTTTTTTCATGTGGTCTAATTGTTTTGAAAACCAAAAAAGGTCACCGTTGTTAACCTGAAATGAAAAATATATCAAAGGAGAAGATGCTTCTCAATGAGCCCGTGGCGGCGTCGTGTTCACAGTTGGGGACAATTATTTCATTCCTACATGTAAAGGCGGTCCTAACGGGCTCTAGCTCGTGCTGAAAAAAGAAACAAGTCTTTATCCTTTTTTATCAGAGAATTAGAATATAAAAAATACAAACCACAAAAAGGTCTTTCTGTTTTTGTTTGACAAAAAAAATGTGAAAAACAAGCAGACATGAGCATACATGTACGTGTACATGTACAAGGACTTCATCATAGCGGTACCTGTGAAGTCATTTCATGTGGCCCCTCAGAAATGACTGTGTGTGATTACATGCGTGTAGTTCTTGAAATGTTAAACTTCTTTGTGGATCCTTTTCTCATTTGAATAATTTTACCGGAGGCTTCGTTTAAAAGATAGAACACTCTCAAGTGCAACCTTATCAGGGGAGACACCTGTACGTAAGGAGGCATCAGTGCAAAAGGCAACATGGTGATTTCCTTAGGAGTTGTAGCACAACTTGAACATGAACCACTCAGATGAAATATCCTTGCAAGCTGGAGAATATTTAAACACATTAAAGCCACCTCTTGATTGTACATTGTACTTGCTATTACCCAGTAACAGCATTGCGCTTTGAATCCACCCGTCCAAACTAGAGGTATGGTAAATGTACTCGTACATTACCCGCGTAAACACCTTTGTAATCATGTACAGTACATGTAGTATAAATGTAATGTTTTCCAAGTGTTTCCACGGCACTACCTATAGGCAAATTAATTTCCTCCTTCACGTTATTGTGTCTTGATTGAGCAGGGATGACAATAGGTCTTCACCGGCGAGAGTTACTCTTCAGAATTGAATTAAGCCGCATCCATCAAGCATTCCACTTAAACCGTGGCTCAGCTGAACCACGCTAAATTTAAATGTCGTGGAAGGTTGCCGTGTTATTTTTAAGAAAATAAAAGTCCATGCTTATTTGTATTTTTTTTAATCCAGTGATTAAAGACATCATTAACCTTCAGAGAAATTTGGAGGCTTCTGGTTGCCAGGGTGTCTGTCATTGAAATACATGTGTTTGGAAACTGTGCACGTACATGTTCGTGCACAGTGGCCATCCATTTATTGCGCAGTGCACGGGCATCTAACATTTTGTGAAAATGATAACACCAAGGTGAAAGCTGCACAGGTTAACTTTATCAACCCTGTAGATCAGGGCAAAGCTGCCTTGCCAAATAAACTCCAAAATCATGCATGGAATCACAAATACAACATGTGAATTGCACAATTTTAAAAACATCTTTTGTCACTGGGCAAGTACATCTAACTGTGCCATGCCTTTATGTAAATGGGTAATTCAAGAGATTAGGGGTCCAAAAGTGTGACATTTTTGTGTCCCAGTTACATCTGACCTTTGTTATTTGACATATCACGGGAGTTGATTTCATACTATTATTATTTGTTTGGCGGGCAATTTGCATTAATTCATCACTCTTGGAAATTAGAAAATGTGTTCTGAACTTACAAAGTCATACATGTACATGTACGTGTACGTCAGATGTGACAGGGATACAAAGAAAAATGGACCCCTAATTTATGGAATCGCCCAAATGTAAAATGACAATTAGATTTAATACAGATGTAATCCCAAGAATTGTGGAATCTCATGTGTGTTCCCTGGAATGATATTTGTTGTAGTTACTGTGTAGAAATTAAATTTTATTTCCCCCATCTTGAAGTCATAGCAGAATATGGTACATTTAAATCTGTGAGGAGACGGGCGTGCATTCGGATGTGCCGCGAGGCTTCATTACACGGTCTGATTTGAAGCATGTTGAGGCATGCAGATATCTGAGCTTAGTTCACTGGCCAATACAGTACCCCATTCAGGGCCCACATGAGTGCCTTGCTCTCCTTCCCCAGTTGCACTCGGATGACCCCGAGTCCGACCTAGTCCTGAAAACATGTGGCACTTTTATTTTTTTCTGACAGTTCAAAGGGAGGAGGGGGTGTTCTGGCGGGCCAGACCTTCCATAAAGTTGATCCAGAGATAAGATAGCGTAAAAAATGCACAGATTCCAGTGGAATTGAACCGTCTCATGCAGTGAAGCTCTGACTTGCTGGCAGGTTTGATGAAGAAAGGGGGTTTAGGTTTCCTAGGCCGTTTCACAAACAAATGACTTGCGTTCCGACTTGCGAGAAAATAGACGAGGATGGACGACCCAAGATTGTTTTACACCGGAGTGTCAAAAGGTCCACACTCGGGATCTTAAGAGTTGCATCCTCAAAAGCAATTTATGGTGCGGGTGTAGCATTTCAGTGTTCATTGACGTCATTAATGCCTGGTTTGGGGGCTCAAATTACCTTTTGGCATGAATGCTTGAGGGCAGCCTAAACATTTTGTGGGCTGTTGCCTCAACTTTTCGGTGATGAACCAGATTCTGTACATTTGTCCACCTTTGACATGGATTGGGGAGGGATAAAGACGCTGAAAAGGGGGGAGGGGAAAGAAATGCCATCATAAACTTCCATTTTAGCAACCTTGTTATCGCCTCAAACGGAATGTGACCTTTGAGCTTGTACATGTATCTTTGAGATTGCCCTCAATTTTATGGCTTGGTCTTAACAAACAGGTCAAACTGAAGAAGGAAAGAAGTAGTCCTACAATTACGCATGCATGTACATGGACCCGGTAGGCACATGCATATGTACATGTTCAAACTAGTCATCATTCACACTTTCAGCCAGGAAATGGAAACGCCACCTGTGGTTGCGTGTGTGTGTTGGATTTATGGGGGTTTTATCAGATTCTCCACATGTGATGGGTCAGGTTTCGTTATTGTACACTTTCAATCCTGCAGTGGTAATCTTCCTTTTTATCACCGCCATTTATGCCTTCCTGGTCTTATCTTGTCTCAATCATCTTTTCTCATCTCTCTGGCAGAATGATGTAGCATCTCAGGTTACGACATCATCATCATCAGTAACTGTCATCGTCTTAACCATTGGGCCGCTCTGTCATGCTGACGCCATGCCCAATCCTCTCCCACTGAGGACTTGATGGGAACAACCCAGCGTTATGTCGTCCGCCGACAAGAGAGGGCACCATGCAAGCGCGGAACAGCCCTCAACCGTTTCCACTGCCACCACCACCAGTGAGCGCTCGTTACCCAACGACAGTGCCGCGGGGGAGGATGGGACGCAGCCGGTGCGGCGCCTGACGGCCTACGAGAAGCTCACAGAGGACCTGAACAATGATCCCAGGGCCCTCAAGGAGATCACCTTGGGGAAGAGAATCGCATTTTACCGGATACGAGGGGAGCTGGGGAGTGGAAACTTCTCCCAGGTGAAGATGGGCGTACACGCACTGACAAAAGGTGAGATTGAGATCAAAGGTCAAAATCATCGCTCTCATGGGTATTTCTTTTTGACTCATAAAATCCAAGTTCAAAATTGTTTCACATGATTTCACCCACAGACTAGAATGAAAAAAGTGGCATCTGTGCACAGCTGAAAATGCTGAGACCCAAATAAAAGCAGGTGTCATATTTATCATTGATTAACTTCATCATAATTGCATGCATGTCTATTGTGCATGCAATGGTATGAGCAGCCTCCCCACATAGGCAGGCTCCTCATGGCAGGTTCTGTAAAGGTTGCACCTGTCTGTGTATGGACATAAAACTTAAGACATGGGGACTGTGTTCCAGTTGCAACCCTTAACCTCCGAGGATGTGACTGACCGGGCTCTGCTATCCAATAAATCAACTTCAGAGGGTTGAAAAAGTACATGGCATTACAGTTGTCTGCCTGAAAGACCACAAGAGAAGGGTTCTACATTTACATACATATGCGTAAATACTCGGGGCAGTTGGAGCCATCCTTCATCTTCCAAAAAAAAAAAAATGTCTCAGAGGGTAGATGCTTATCCGGAGCAATCGTTTAATATCTCCAGGTAATGCCATCCATCAGGGTAATTATCAGCGAGTCCGACAGCAATCTTCTGTCGTCCTTAGAACCCCGGACAAATAAATCCCGAAAGTACACAGCCTGGTCTAGGTTTACTCCCTGTCACTCGCGTCATTTCTCTCCCCTCCCTCAGTCAGCGCTCTGCAACGTGAATGATGGATCTTTTCCTTATTTTTCCTGAGAGAATGGGGAAAAAACGGAAGAGGGTGGTAAAAAAACCCTCTCTGATTTGTGGACACCAATGAAAGTCTCGTGGGAAGAGTTTTTTATACGGGTACCAGTACTGCGTGGAATCTGCCGGATCTGGTCCCTCAAATACTTGAAATGTAGCTTATCAGATGGGGAACTTTCAGGCATCTCAAGGATATTCAGATTTGTCTGTGTATTTTTGTTGAGTGTACATTCTGTTGAGAGTAATAGGTACATGTTGTGTCCAGCCTAATTCAAGTTGCCTCTTGCCTTCCTTAGTCCTTCTTGACTCTGTCCAATCACAGTCAGAGGGTTGGGTTTTGGATCAGTCCAAGGCAGGAAACTGATGGTTTGGCCAGTCCCTGTCATTAATGTCAGCCACTGCATTTTGTGTTTTGCATGGTTGGGAGTTAAGGAGCTTACCAGTATTTGGTTTGAAGTAGATCTTGGATTAAATTACGGACAGGTATTCACTCTCCTCATTTACCAAGCAGAGAAGTGCTTCTGTTGGGAATAATATAGGTACATGTAAAAAGATGTACATGTACATTGTAGAGGATATGTGATGTACGTGTACATGAACAATATAACATGTATACATGTACATCTGTGCAGAGCTGTTATTTTGAGAACCGTTTATGTTGAAGCTGCTGAAATTGATAAGTGCATTTACAAGGGCAGCTACCAAACCTCTTCAAGGAATGCGGATGACCGAACGTGCCTGCATTGTAACATGCGCTCACCCAATTATCTTGGAGCACTGCGTATAATCAATGAGCCAGTAATTTCATTGGCCCTGAAAATTGTGAAGGACATGCCGGACGGTGAAGGCGAACCTGCAAAATGAGCACGGCAGATGGCGGGTCAGGACTCCTGCCCCCGGTCTGCCTTCTTTGGCATGCAAGGCAAGATGAGGAGGAACCGCTGTCAAACGGAATCACGCTCCGGTGAGCGAGACCATCTGATTGAACTTTTTTTTGATTTCCTCCCAGGTTTGTCGTCACAAACCAAGCGAGATTGCCGTTTCCTTCAGGATGGAAAATGGCCACTTCGCGGGCCCTCAAAACTTATCTCGCTTCTGTGTTCTCACTCTCTCTCTTCTCTTCCCCCCCCCCCGTTATAATCACAGCAACATTTCCTCTCCAATATCCGTGGGGTGTTTGGCAAGTTTGAGCCTGGACTGGCCAGGAGAAACACCTGGCAGTGGGTAATGACAGGGCATCGTCTCACTGATGAGCCCGACGGTGATGTGGATGGTTGCCAAAGGGGGGAGGGGAGGACGATGACAGCCAGAGATGCAAGCAGACTCTGATGAGATGTACATTTACATGTGTTATTTTTGTAGCTTGATAACGAGCAGGTGCACTGTCACTTCCGTGTGGTTAGAGTCTTATGTGGACTTACATGTACACATCATTTGTGCTTGCCAATGCCATGTGATGGATACACTGTATAGATTTTTATCATGATGCTGCCATGTTTGTCTTGTACCCTGTAGCCCCATTGACAATAGTTATACAACTTCACATATTGATAAAAGGGAACAGACCATTTCCCCTTCCAGACTTAGGCTGCATCCGAATCTGTTGTCTAGAGCTAGGTCTAGGTCTTTGCTCCATTGGAAATTTGCAGAGACGCGTAGACAATAGACCTAGCCGTAGCTCTGGAAGCCCGTTTCGGACATGGCTTAGTTTGGTTACATTGGTTTGATGATAGAAAAGCAAGATGGCTGCCCCATGATTGGAGTGTGTAGGTTATGTACATGTATTTTGCAGGGGTGAGTTTTTCAGGCCTTCTTGTGATTTCAGGATTTTTCATCAGGATTTCCTGAGTTTGAGATTTTTTTAAAGATCTTTTGAAATCGGAAAATCCCGTGTTTTACCATTAAGGTGCTTTTACATAAAATTTTAACACACAAAACAAGAAATAGGTATTTAAAGAGATGCTTTTAGGCAAACAGTATTGTGTACTGTAGACCCAACGTTGCTGTGGGACCCTCATACCCTCTGGTCATGATTTTGTGGAGATCTCATTTTCTTCCCATCTCACCCCTGAATATGGGCGTTTCACAATAGTGCGCCCCCAAGAGTTTGCAACGCATTGGCCACTCACAATACGCAAATTTGTCGACCCAATCCACGTTTGGAAAGGGTCGACAAATTTCGTGCGCTGTGATTGGCCAATGCGTTGCAAACTCTTGGGGGCGCACTATTGTGAATCGCCCGTATTAGATGATCAGAAGAATAAGCCATCTTAATAATTAAGATTAGAAAGTACTACATGTGCAGCAAATAATTCAAGTACATCAAGTTCAACCGACGTACGGGGTGCTGTGTCTTCATTGCCAAAATGCAGGCAACGCATCTAAGCGTAAGATGGCCCACACGGGAGCACATCTGAAGTTTGCCAGCGCCACTACAGTGATAATACATGATACGTCTCCTGGTGCAGTCATTAGAACGATCCGATGAGGCGTCATTTCTTGCGATGACACCACACTCACATGCGCGTTGTACATGTTCTTGAATTCTAGGTGTATGGCAGTTTGGCAAGTAGGTAACACCCTGTTGGTTGAGCAGATGCTTAATACTGGTAGGTGACCTTGGCGTTAATGTTGTTCTGTATACTGCCACAGTCATTACTTCTCCATGTACATGGAGGTCACCAGAGTGGTCATTTGAACCATTCAACAATTCTGTATTCTATGTACATACAACCCCCCCCCGTGCTATACAGCAAGATTTAAGTTTGGCAGATGCATATGTACATGTACATGTATTTTATTTACAATTCAGATATATACTGTCCATGTACATGTACATGTATGTATACCTTCGAGCAGACATGCAAATTTTCAGCGTGCTCACCTTTCTTGACCCTTGTGATTCATTCTGAGATCTTAATTGATTGACCATCGCTCATTACATGTATGTTATAATGACAAGCTACCTGAGCTGGCAGGTACATGCACATGTAGTATGCAGACCGTGCTCAAATATGCTTCTGGAACTTTCTCACAAGTAGTCAGGAAGTACTGGTCGGAGTAGCATTGTACCGGTATCTTGGTCTATCAGAATTCGTATTGCAAATCTGCCGCATGATTGGTCTGAAGTACATGTACATGTACCATTTGTTTGGCAGTTTGGACGTCTTCTGACTTGAGGCTGAATAACTTCTTGACTTTAGGCAGTTTGATTCCAACAGCGGAAAGCACCGAGCACAAATTCCAAATGGTTGTGTCTCATTGATGAAGCTCGCGTAACACTTGAACATTTCCATTTCCTCTTCTCCCCCCCACCCCCCAGAAAAAGTAGCCATCAAAATTCTGGACAAGACCAAGCTAGACCAGAAGACCCAGCGGCTGCTGTCACGGGAGATCTCCTGCATGGAGAAGCTCCACCACCCCAACATCATCCGGCTGTACGAGGTGATCGAGACCCTGGCCAAGCTGCACCTGGTCATGGAGTATGCCGCTGGCGGTGAACTCTTCACGAAGATCTCCAACGAGGGCAAGCTGAGTGAGGCCGAGTGCAAGCCCATCTATGCTCAGGTGGTCGCCGCGGTCCACCACATGGTGAGTCGTTAGCGAAAGTTACAGTTACATGTAGCCGCAGAAACAAGGCTTAGTACACACATGTACATGTACATACTCCTATGTGCATGTACATGTATATGTACATCTCCCCATACAGGATCAGACTGATGGTGCTGGTACCGGTACTGTTGGCTGGTAACAGTTAATGGCTCCTCTCATTTTGACACGGAAGCAGGAACAAATTTCATGAAAGAATCATTGCAGAAGAGGATAGAAGGGGGTGCAGAGGTGCCTCATTTTCATGATTTTGGTTTACATACAGGGATGCGATTTCTCAGCTTTTTAGCTGATTTCAGCTTTTTTTTGTTTTGGATTGCAGCTTTTTTTCCTCACTGGCTGTGTATTAAAAGATATAGGAGATTTTCACAGTTGAGCTTCTTGATGCCTTTTTTCAGCTGTTTTCAGCTATTTTTATCATTGGTCAATCTCACCCGTGTACATACATGTAGCATTGTACACATGTGGAGCATATGGAGGCAAACATTTCCAACCACATGTAAGAGATACACCCTGTATGCAATGCAATACCTTGGTACGTGCATCAGATACATTCCTGGCATGTATACACAGTATTGGCTTGTGCCTACCCAGTTGAGAATATGATATGCCGGTTACACAGTGTCCTCTAGTTCAAATGCAAAGCTCATATAGTAAGGACTGTACCCGTAACAGCGGTTGATAAGCTGCATTTCCAATATGCCATAGGTCTTGAGAGCCGTTAGGCCCCCCCCCCAAAAAAACAGTCTCCGGTTTCTGGTCCGCACGTGCGTCGCCGTAGACCTGCACGTCGACAAAAAAAGGGTTTTTATTTGGTATAAAACGATGTCCAAAAGCTGCCGAGCTTGCTTAATCGACTGGAATCCTGCTACTGTGTAATTTTAACATGTTTTTGATGGGTGACGGTTGAGTAATATGTACAGTAAAGGAGTCCCTCTAGTTCCCCATACATTTTAGTCGGGCACTCTTTTCAGATGACATCATTTCTGTATTATAAAATTTACATCTGGGACCAGACAAACGAGGTGGTCTTATATCTTGTGTACATATGCAAGCTGAAAATGCTTTTAAATAGTAAAAAGTGTGGGGGCCAGTCTATTTTAATGTTTGTAGCGGCCGGCTAATGTGCGTGTGCAGTCGTGATGGACATTGCGCATTATACGTACATCATTTCTAGAAAAAAAAGTGAGGATTAAAAAAAAAAGGCCGCGTCCCGCACCACTTTTGGAGCCAGCTCCTGACTAGAAACCGGAGACTTTTTGGTGGCCTCATTGAAAAGTCCACATAAATGCTGATCCGCTCGACCACTGAGTGGGCGGGTTTTGTTAACAGTGGCACATTTGTTCAAGAAAACTTGCCAAACGTTAGATACAGGTGTTCCTTGGAACAAGTATAATTAAAATTGGCAATGAAAAGAGGAAATTGGCCTGATATTTTTTCCAAGTGACGAGCCACCTGCAAGAGGGTATTTTTTTGCTGCTACATGTATTATCATGTCCAAGTCCTCTAATTGGAGAGGGATACTTCATCTTTTAAATGCCAATGACGCAGATGGGTCCACAGGAAAGCAAAGTGCAGGTGTTTGCAAAAACCCAAGGAGATTTAGTGACAGAGGAATTAGGAAAAGCTGTATTTTCAAAACAAATGATTACAGTTGGCAAATAATTCAAATAGTTTATAGTTGAGGTGGAAGGCATTTCTTTCCTTTAAGGCAGATATTTTCAGTATGTTAAGGAAGGACGTTTGTTTTCTTCGTGATGCAGTTCACACATTTCTTAGATGAAGGCCTTTTTTTGGGCCCGCCATGGTTATTCTCATGTTATGCTTCAGTTGAAAACAACTTAGCCAGCCTTTCAGGCAGATAATCTTCAAAGCTGATCAATGACTTGTCGACGGTGAGTTATTTCTGGAAGTTGTGCGCCCGCAAAAAAAGTCCTGATGCGGCACCGCAAGCTATTTTTGGAAGTGGTGTGCCCGCAAAACAGGTCCTGATGTGGCATGATGCTGGTACATGAGCATTTTAATGGTTGAGGATGCATTACGTTGTCGGGATAAGTGGTGTTCCTCCGTCTTTCCCTAGGAAAGGTCTTTCACATGATTCACCCATGCAGAATAGGCATGCGAATGCCGCTTTGCCTGCAGTGCATTGTGGGATAGTTCAAATTTTTGGTGCTACGGGTGTAAACATTGCTCAATAGTGATCATCTTGTACATGTAAAGTAATGGAATGGGCAATGTTTGTTCTCTTGGATGCAGTCAAGGAAGGTGGGAATGTTGTTTTTTTTTGAGTAGCAATCTGCAGCCATGTATCGTGGTTCCCAAGTCGATGCGCTTGTGTGTCCATGGTACATATACATGTACGTTGCATAAACAGTGGAAGATAAAGTAATTAACTGCAGGGTAGTCTGTGGAGGCAGTCCGCCGGTAGGACCACAGAGTGGATTGATTTGCAGCCCACCTGCCCATTCCGAAGGTGCTGAGGACTTGTAATTTCTGTAAGTTGTCCCCGGATGGGCGCATATTTTGTTTACCCAGTGACCCAGTGCATGGAAGGTACTCTATGAGCAGTGATCATGGCTTCCCCAAGTCTGCATTTCCTAACTACCGGTACTATGCCCATCGCAAAAGAGGTTTGAATCTGTGCCGTTTTTCATCGCTCTGAGATTAAGATTTTTTTACAGTTAACTTTCCTAGAAATACATGCACATTACATGTGACGTGTTTGTCTATTTCTATTCAATGTCAAGTTCACTCAAACTGATTTAAAATCTACGGTATTTTTCTTTGTGCGAATTGTCTAGCCCAGTTCTAGAGCAAAGATATTGTCGATCACATTACACAGGCGAACAGTAAACTGGTAGAAGAAACTTGAACAGTGCAGCAGCCTACCATTCAAAATGTACACTTTCAAAAATAAAAGAATGGTTTGATAATGGAGTAACCCAAAAATTCAATTACAGTTACAGAATTAAAAAGTAAAAGGCCAGATGCAAATGCAGTTGGAGAGTTTCAGAGTTACATGTACATGTAGTGTATTTGGCATCACAGGCAACAACTGCTGTGATTTATGTAGTCAGCTAGGCTACGTACATGTACGCAGTGCATCTGGGAGGTCTTCATCCAATTTTATGCAGGAAACACGGCCTGTTTCTTGTTTTCTTTTTCTCCAACCCACCTGCGCATGCACCCAACACCTTCCTTGGGATTGAGGCCGCACGGTAGCGCCGCGTTCCTCCCTCCCCCCTTCCCCGCAGTAAGTAACCAATGGTAAGCACTTAAATCCCCATTTACGTGTTTGCAGTGCCCAGCGGTTATGGAAATCGTCTAATAAGATGTGCACTTACAGAGCTGTGCATGTTGTATGTTTTCATGGACATTGTATTGGTACAGGGTGCACTGAAGAATTTGTTCAGCGGTGTGCTCCATACATGTACATGAGCGTAATAATTACATGCACATGGGTAATTCCAGAAATTCCAAAAGTGTGGCATTTTCGTGTCCCTGTTACATTTGACCTTTGTTATTTCACATAGAAATATCACCGGAATTGATTTCAAACTATTACTATTTGTTTGGCAGGCGATTTGCATTAATTCTTCACTCTTGGAAATTAGGAAATATGTTCTGAACGTACAAAATCATATGTCAGATGTGACAGGGACACAAAAAAAATGGACCTCTATTTTGGATTACCCACATGTAAAGAGATCGCACCAAGGTTTTTACTGCTTAGAATTACTGCATATAATGCATTCAGGCCTGTAACATATACCCATATACTCGTACATGTACCGGATACACGACAGAGATGGGCAGAGAGGCCTGTATAGTGCTCAAAATCTTCACTTCTTTTCACAACTCAAGATTTGACCATTCATAATTTGTTTTTTCCAACAACGCAGTTTACCATAGTGCAAAGAATCAGCAAAATGGGAGTGTAATGCAGTGCTGTTCCCCGCGAAGTTCAACTTTCAGTACACGTTCATTACACCCTCCTTCTGCTACAAATGTCAAAAACAGTCAAAGATTCCTTCCACTTGATTTCCCCCAGTACACAGACACACATGGGAAATTTGACTGGTTTTGACTGATAGGACAACTGTGTCAAGAATGTATCTTTGCCTAAGGGGGTTAATGTTGCACAAAAGGAACGCTCAGGAAATCTTTGTGAAAAAATTGCGACGCATTCAGCTGGGAGCAAATGACTAGATGAAACTCCATGTTCCATTATTCGTGCAGTGCAGGACGCGCATGCACTTTCATTGTGTACAAATACATGTGTACTGTACATGTACATGAGTGCAGTACATGTACATGAGTGCGGTACATGTACATGAGTGCGGTACATGTACATGAGTGCGGTACATGTACATGAGTGCAAACTGACACCCAGAATTGTTTACTCTCCTTGTACATGTTTTTTTTTTTGGACTCCATGAAAGTACACACTGCGCATGGACATGGACATGTACGTACATGTCCATGGAGTTCACATGTTGGGAATCAGTGTTGAGAGAACATCAGGGAGAAGGACACCAGCCTTCTTTAATATTCGTAGATACTAGTACAAGTCCCAGTTGATAATTTCATACAGTCATGTATGTGTACATCCGTTACTGTCACATGATAGAGATGATAGAATGTGGAAATGTCGTTGAATTCCCACTTCATTCATTTCCCTTAGTTTTGCACGACACCCTCCAACAACCTGTCATTCTTTCCTGTACCTCTCAGGCACTGTGATTTTCATGACAGCTTCAGTCTCAAAGTCCTCTCCAGGGTGAAAAACAAGAATCAATCACTGCTAAATACTCGCTTTCCCCCCAAACAGTCTTAATTTATAGATTCAAATGATCATGTCCCTAATTGGCACCAACGGGCTGTGGACATGATGGGCATCAGAGTCAGTCCTGCAGGGCTGACTACTCATCTTCAAGTAGCGGAATCCCACCCAACAGTGCTTTTTTCTTCCTGAAGGCTGG